AGTAGAGAGGATACCATGATGAACTCCAGTTTACTCAGTGTCCAGATCTGACAATCATTAATATTTGCTGCAGCCGAAAAAAAAACATATTTGCTTCAGCTATGTTTTTCTTGTGCTAAAGTATTTTCAAGCAAGCCCCAGACTTCATGACATTTCATCCCTAGATATTTCACTGAATCTCAACTAAAAAAAAAGAAAGTCTCAACTACTTGAAGACATTTTCTTAGATGACTCCAATCCTATAATCACACCGACAAGATTAGCAATCATCACTAATCATCGGATCATTTATATCATAAAATGCCCACAACTTATGTGGTTTCCCCTGATTGTCTCCATATGTCTTTCACAGCTGGCTTGTTGAACCATTTCTGTGAAAGCTCCATCTGTGTTTTTCCTCTCCATTGCATTAATTTTTTTATTGCAGTATAGTTGATTTACAACGTTGTGTTAGTTTCAGGTGTACAGCCAAGTGGATCAGTTATATATGTACATATATCCACTCTTTTTTTTTTTTTTAGAGATTCTTTTCCCATATAGGCCATTACAGAGTATAGAATAGAGTTTCCTGTGCTATATAGCAGGTTCTTATTAGTTATCTATTTTATATATAGTAGTGTGTATATGTCAACCCCAATCTCCCAGTTTATCCCTCCCCCCACCCTTATCCCCTGGTAACCGTAAGTTTGTTTTCTACATCCATGACTCTACTTCTGTTTTGTAAATTTGTACCCATTTGTACCTTTTTAAGATTCCACATATAAGCGACATCATACAATATTTGTCTTTCTGTCTGACTTACTTTACTCAGGATCACAATCTCTAGGTCCATCCCTGTTGCTGCAAATGGCATTATTTTGTCCTTTTTTATGGCTGAGTAATATTCTATTTTATATATGTACCACACCTTCTTTACCCATTCTTCTAAATGATGGACATTTAGGTTGCTTCCATGTCCTAGCTATTGTAAATAGTGAACATTGGGGCACATGTATCTTTTAGAATTATGGTTTTCTCTGGTATATGCCCTCAGAATGGGAGAAAATATTTGTAAATGAAACAACTGACAAGGGATTAATCTCCAAAATATACAAACAGCTCATGCAGCTCAATAAAAAAAAAAAACAAACCACAATCAAAAACAGGCAGAAGATCTAAATAGACATTTCTCCAAAGAAGACATACAGATGGCCAAAAAGCACATGAAGAGATGCTCAACATCACTATTAGAGAAATGCAAATCAAAACTATAATGACGTATCACCTCACACGTCAGAATGACCGTCATCCAAAAATCTACAAACAATAAATGCTGGAGAGGGTGTGGAGAAAAGGGAACCCTCTTGCACTGTTGATGGGAATGTAAATTGGTACAGTCACTATGGAGAACAGTATGGAGGTTCCTTAAAAAACTACAAAGAGAACGACCATATGATCCTCTCCACTGCATTGCTAGTCCTAGTCACACAGTAAGATCATAGGTGATCAGTAAATCTTTCAAATAGTCCAGCTAACATGTTGACAAAAGTTTAAAAAAATCAATGTGACAGGGCTTCCCTGGTGGCGCAGTGGTTGAGAGTCCACCTGCTGATACAGGGTACACGGGTTCGTGCCCCGGTCCAGGAGGATCCCACATGCCGCAGAGCAGCTGGGCCTGTGAGCCATGGCCGCTAAGCCTGCGTGTCCGGAGCCTGTGCTCCGCCGTAACGGGAGAGGCCTCAACAGTGAGAGGCCCGTGTACCGCAAAAAAAAAAAACAAAAAACAAAAACCAATGTGACAAAACAAAACAGCCTATAGAGCATGAACCCCTTTGAAACACTTTATTCTGAAATAATTTCAGATGTATTGAATACATAAAAGTTGTAGAAATAGGCCACAGGGCTATTTGCCCTTGTATCAGATTTCCCATTTGTGAGCATTACTGCACATAAATTGCAGGCATCATGACCCATTATTTCTTAATATTCCAGTATATATTTCCTATTTATAAGGGGACTCTACCAGGTAACTGCAGTATGACCATCAAAACAGAGATGTTAATATTGACCAATATTAATGTATGATCCTCAGATGCCATTCAGCATTTTTTCTCTTATATTTTAATATTACTTAGCACTACTTACATTTTCCTTTTTAAAAACTTACAAAAATGCTTCCACCTCTACACAGCCCCCAAAATCCAAGTCCCTTGTTGAGAGTCACCAGTTAGGCCTTTAGCCTTCAGACATTTTTCTGAGCAGCACACATAGGGCTGTAGTTGAACTGCCTCTTCTTTTTTTTTTTTTCTTTTTTTTATCCCAACTTGCTTTTCTCTCATAAGAATAGGATCTCTTTTGAAGCTCACTCTGTTAATGAATCACCATCTTCTACTTTTAAAATTAATTTTAATTAATTAAATTAAATTGGAATTTTTTTCCTGCCTCTTAAGAAAAAATGTCCACTATACAGGCATTCCATAATGCATGGATATACCTAAATTTAGTCATTTCGTGATTGCTCCTGTGTTTTGCTTCCATCAACAACATTCCAATGACCCTGCTTGGTCCACACATCTGTGTATTCTAAGATTACCAAGCATGGTGACTGAAGATATGAAAACACCAGATATATTTTTCTAAAGCCAATTTTGATGGGTTAGAAATGGTCACTTGATATGCTTTTCAACTTTCTCCATTGCTGGCGAAGTTGATCATAACTTCCTTTTTTAAAAAAATTTGATAATAATAGCCTTTTTTTTTTTTTAAAGCACAGTGTTAGCTATACTAAGTGCTTAATAAGGAAGATTTATTGGCATCTGTCTTATTTCTTGTTGAAAGCTTGCACTCAATGTGAGGCCAAAATCTAAGAGAGCTCTCAGTGTTATTTCATTATTCATGCAGTAAAAAAATTACTGAGCACCTACTATATGCCAAGCAGGCATTGTTTCAGGTGCTGGGGAAACGGCAGTAATTGGTCTGTTCTCATGAAGCTCACATCCTAAGACAGACAATATACAAGTGCATATTGTCATCTGCATAGATATATCTGGAAAGATGCAATCCAATGTGCTCATTAATATGATGGTTTAAAGAGTGTGTAGGAAAGGTGGTCAGAGATAAATGAAAGGAGGGCCAAGAGTCGAAACAGTTGATACAGAGTGATGGGTACAAGGGCATTCATCATGCTATTTCCTGTGCTTTGGTACATTTTGAAAATTTCTATAATTAAAAAAAATGCTAGTGGCTAACGGGATCATTGTCTTGGGAGATTTTCTTCTTTTGGCTAGACCTAAATTTCTAACTCCCTCTAGGAAAGTTTTGTCTTTCCTCTCACTGGGGTGTGTGGTGTCAATATCAACAAAATGCCCTGGAGAATTTTCTCCAAAGAAGCCGTCTGTGGGAATGGCCATTCACAATTAAGATTTAAGAGTCCATGCAAAGTGTGATATGGGCTGGGTGTGAAATGATGATATTGGGGAATTACTGTTAATTTTCTTAGCTATGGCAGCAGTTGAGTGGGTTCTGTGAGACCATCCACCCCTCTTTTGTTTGAAGAGATGCATACGGAAGTATTTAGTCTATTGTTTACTTTAAAATACGTAAGCAATATAGCCAATAAAGTTGACAGCAATTAATGGACCTGCTGAGAATATACATGTTATTTATCTGCACTTTGTTGAAAAGCTTTTGTTTTTATAAAAGGCTTACAATTTTTCTTCTTTAAGTACTGCTATCAATATTTCATTACTGTAAGGGCACGAAGCCTCCCTGCCTTCTACCCTGGCCGGCAGAGGCCCACTTGCCCTCACTACCTTCAGCCTCCTCAGGGACTACCGGCGGCGCCACTTCGGAAAGCTCCAACTTCCCCGCCATTTTCCAACGCTCGCACGACTGGCGCGCCTGCGCTTGGGGCGATGATTGGCTTAAAAAAAAAAAGTCACGTGAGGGCGGACAGGCTGTGCAGAGCGCACGCGTCCAGTGCGTGTCTGTGCGTCAGTTGACCAGGGTGAGGAGCAATGGGCTTTCAGCTCCCAGGAGGGAACAGCCCAGAGCCCCCGAGTGACAGTTGGCCCGCACGCGTGCACCACGAGGCCTGCAACTCCAGGTTAGAGGAAAGAAGGGCAAAACTAGGGTATTGGTCGTTGGCGAGTGAGTGCTGCGTGCACGCATGGAGATTACAGGCAGGTCTCGCCATCTCCCTCTCTAGGATGCTTGTGTTGTGCAGGTTGTGCAAGCCTGGGACAAATGTCCGTACGCTATGTGGTGGTACGCGTTGAGTCCCTTTTCGTTCACGAATCCTCACTTAGCCTATGAGAGGTTAGGTATCTCCATTTCACGAGTGAGTAGAATGAGCCGTGGAAGGTAAGTGGATCTATGTAGAAATTCTGGATCTCAGCCACCGTGTGAAGTCAGGTGCTTTGTCCCGGGTTACACAGACAGGTAGACGCTGGAGGCCATCTTCTCGCTAATGCTGGCAGCAGCCAACACTGATGGGGCCACTCTTGACTGGGTAAAGGCGAAGTGCACGAAGCACAAAGGAATGTCCTTACGGGGGTCGGTTTTAGGCTTTTTATGTGCAGTTTTTTTCTTTAAAATATCTTCAGGCTGTTTCTGGGCGCAGGCTGGTCCTGCATTCCAATTCCAGAACCCCTGTGGGCCACCCAAGGAGACCCTGGCCAGCCCTGGACCCTCAGGGCTGAGATCCCGTGGGGGAGGCAAACCCCTGATGCAGGACGGAGGGTGTGGTGCCCAGGACTGGAGCAGACGGTCCCTGACAGAGGCTGCAACATCATCCAAGTGAAGGAGGTGTGGCAGAGGGAGGGGAAGCGGGAGTCCTAAGGATTTCCCCACCGGAGGGGCAGAAGGGGGCTGGGGACGCAGCCGGCTCACCTGTGTGCAGTCACTCTGCCACGCCTCGCTCGTGTGTGGGCAGCCCTCCAGATCTCGCTCCATTGCCCGGGGAGACAGGGACCAGCCACAGACACCACCACCAGCAACCCCCCCTCCCCTGCGCCCCGGCCCATTTCCAGGGTGGAGACAGGAAGTAAAAGCCAAAGATGGTGGTTCCCCACACGGCACAGTCTGGGAGCTCCGCCTCTCAAGGTCCAGTAAACAGGCCGTTATGGGAAGCCTGGTCCGTGGAGACAGCTGGGGCTGCTGGGGGCGTGGAGTACTTGGGTGGGTAACGAATGAACAGACGATCCTCCTCTTTCTTCACCCAACGCAGGAGTTTGGTCACTACGAGGATGGCACCTGCCTTGGTCACCAGGGGGCTGAGGCAGGTGTACAGCTCAAATTTGGAGGTCACCTGGGGGTTTGAGAGGAGACAGGGTCAGCTGGGCCGGAGCTGGCCATGCCCGGTGCTGTCCACCCCACCCTAGCCCCATACCTGTCCCGTCTGGAAGGTGCATCTGGCAGCAGCTCCTCCTTGGTGCTGCCTGGTCACTGGGCTAAAGTGGGTAAGCTGATGCTGTCGTATCCTGAGTGGGCCAAGGGACCAGCGAGATCTAGTGGCTTCAGCTGGGTGATGTTGGCTCTGTGTGTGTGTGTATGTACACCCTCTGGACCTCAGTTCACTTATGTGTGCACTGGGGATGGTGACAACAATGCTTAACGTTTAATGAGCAATGGTTGTATACAAAGTCCTGTTCTAAGCTCCACACACCTGTTTTTATCATCTGTAGCCTGGGCATAATAGGAGGATTAACGCAATTTAATCTTCATACCAACCTGAGAGGCTTAACCTGACCAGGTCACCAGCACCTTTCCACATCACCTCTCTCTGCTCTCCCCCTCGCTCTCTCTGTTCCAGCCACTCTAGCCTCTCCTTGCTGTTCCTCAAACATAACCAGGCTCAGCCTCACCTCATGGCATTTGCACAGTCCTTTCCCTCTGCCAGGTGTACTGTTCCTGGAGATACCCACACGACCTGTGACCTCCCCTCCTATGTGGATGTCATTTCCTGACCACCCAATTTAAAATCCTGGGCCTACCAGATCTTGTTTTTGAAATACCGTCCTCCACTGAAACGTACAAGGGCTCATTGGACAGATGGCCAATTTCAGGACTGGCACAGCGAAAGTACAAAATGAGCTTGGAATATCTTGTGCCAGAAAGTAAGAAGTGCTTAAGCAGTCATGCAGACGTGTCAAAAAGATACAGGGGCCAGTCTGGCTAAATCATGGCTCCTGCTGGCTAACTCAGAGACAATTTGAGCACAAAAATAAATGAAAGGAAAAGATTTTAGCCCACTGAATTCAAGAAAATTCCATAATATAAAATTCAAAATTCAACAAATAAATAGGAGCAGGGAAAGTTCTTCCATACAGTAGAATCTCAACCAATAAATGAAGTTATGATGGAGTCAGAAAAGTAACCATCTGGTAAATACCAGAGAAACAACTGTCAAAGGCAAAAATCATTCATGGATATTAAAATTAGTGGAAGAAAATACGGTGAAAAAGAGAACACTGACACAATCACCACAAGATATTTACTAATTACAAAATCACCACAAGATATTTACTAATTACAAAGGGCAAAAACACCTAACTTTAAAGTGGAGAAACCTGGCAGCTACCACCTTAATGAAGTGATAGAAGTTAACACCATCAATGGGGTACAGTGACATTGTGGTCCTCCCGATATGAAGCAGAAAAGGACACAACATCACTTCTGTGATATACTTGCCCAGAATGCATGACCTCAATTTAGTCTTGATAAAATATTAGAAAAACCCAAGTTGAGGGACATCCTACAAACTAACTGGCTGGTACTTTCTAAAAGTGCCCAAGTCATAAAAGACAAAAAAAAGACTGAGGAAATGTTCCAGAACAAACGAGGCTAGGGAGACACAATAAATAAACCTAATATGTGATCCTGGACTGGATTCTGGACCAGTAAAAGGACATTAGTGGGACAAGTGGTGAAGTCTGAATGAGGTCTGTGGATAAGATGTGATTGTACTGATGTTAATTCCCTGATTTAATGAGTTCCTGTGATTATGTTAACATCTGGAGAAACTACATGAAGGACCTATTTAAAGTAACTTTTTGTAACTTCTTTGTAAGTGTAAAATTGCTTGAAAATGAAAGCTAAAGAAATTTTTTTTTATTAAATAAAATTCTCAACCTAGAACAATGCCTGATACCTAACAGGCATGCAAATAAATGATTTAATAAATATGCACTAAATAGCAGAATCTAGGGGAAAGTGCCATTTCCAGTGGAGTCATGTGACCAAACTCCCTGAAGCTGACCTTGAATAGACCCATAGGAAGTGAGGACAGGAACCCTGAGGAGACCCCAGAGAAGGATACCCCAGGTGGAAGGCACAGCAGGGGACCAAGCTTGTAGTGTTCAAGAGTGCTGGGAACTCATGGAGTCAAAGCTCAGCTGGTACCTGCAGACACGTGGGCGGGGCTCATGGGAAATCAGCGAGCACAGTGATGGTGGATAACGGGGCCTCTTGAAAGTCAAAGACACTCTACTGGTGGCTAACCAGGAGACATTCTACTGTAGACTGGTGGTTTGTCTACAAGTGTCAATGCATGTGTCTAAAAAGAAGAAAACTTAATTTCTGTTTTATGTGAAGAACAAATTCAGATTTGGCACTTTTGTGTTTTAAGTGCCTAAGAATGGAAAGAGATAATTAAAGAGTGTTTAAGAAATTTAAGATCATGAACTGTGAGAGTCCTAGGCGTAACTGCTAAGAATCTTGGAAACAGAAAAAGAAGTTGAGTGTCTGTCATGCAGTTTCCTTAAGCTACAGTGAACACCATCTTCTCTCTGGAAGAAGACAGAAACTAGGAGCAACTGTGCATGGTAATTTTCACTAAATTCTTCTAAGAATATTTACCTTGTTTACAACTGGATTCATTTATTCCTTCTAGTATTGACTGGAATACTCCAGTCAGATACAGGAATTTTTTGTGTAAGTGTAATTTCAAAAATTTCCACATGATGGCAGAAGATCCTAATATCTGGAAACACATTATTGAATGAAATTCAGAAAACTCTGTATTTCAATTTTACCTCAAATAGTATGCGTCTTTTCATATTTCTGCTAGTAATTTTCACACTTGTATTGTCTGATAGAGACAGTTATTGCTACTTAGAACATTTTAAATGTTTTCAGTAATTTTAAAATTTTAAAAATAAATTTGTTTTTCCAGAAAAAAAAAACAAAAAACCACCAGACTCTCTACTGGTTGTTTCTCTGGTATTTACCAGATGGTTACTGTTGACCGAGGGAACGGTCAACAGAATGATGGAACTAAAGGTTCTGGACACTGCAACTGCTGGGTTTCACAGACACACGGAGTGGCCAGGACACTTCTGGAGGCAGAACCGCAGCCCAGGCCAAGGCGTGGTGCATCTGAATGAGGCTATCACAGCTGGACGGGATACAGGGGAGGGAAAGAAGGCTTGAAGTGGGGCAGTTAACTCCTTCAGAGCCCCCCACTCAACTCACCCAGGCCAGCAGCGTCTCCTTCTCGGCCACGTGGTAAATGAGGCGCAGGGGCCGGGAGGTGTTGTGGAGGCGTGCGTGCAGGCGGTGGTACAGGTCGGACAGGCGCTGTCGCTCCTCCTGTCTGCTGTATGGGGCCTCCAGCTCGGGGCTGCAGTGATGGACGGGGGTGGGGGACAAGGTCAGTCTAGGGCTTTCGTGGCTGGCCTATCTCCCCTCAGTCTAGAGAGTTCAGTTAAGTTAGGAGCTGAGCCTCCCCCATTAGACTGGAGGCTTCACAGGGCCTAAGCTCCCCATCAAACTTGGGGATTCCTTAAGTCCTGGGGCCCTCCTCTCCATTAGAACAGGGGAATTCTCGAGGTTGGTGGCTGAGCCTCCCGCATTGGGCAGGCCCATTCTATTGCATCCCTCTAGAGCATGGCTGGCTCGCTCTCCAGACTCATGTCTATGAGTTGCCGAACCTTCCAGTTAGATAAGCCTTCCTACCGGGCCACTTGCCCGCAGGGTAGGGGCCCACCTGGTAAACTGGGGCAGCTGGCGGTGATGGTCGGGGATGTCCAGCGGCTTATAGAGGAAGTGCCGGAGGCCGGCGGCCTCCACAGCCTGCACACTGTAGGCCGAGGTACCGGCCAATGGGGTGTTGGAGAAGCTGGCAGCCTCCCTGAGGGTGCGCATGGCCCCAAGGGAGTGCATGCCGTCCTCAACCAGGCGCCGGCAGGTGGCCATGTCGTGGAAGGCCTCGGGGTCGGTGCCAAGCAGCAGCAGGCAGACAGGCATGGCGTCCAGGCGGGCCACGTAGGCGTAAAAGAAACCATCGGGATTGAAGCGGGGCAGGCACACAGGTGCCCAGGCCTCGCCCGCCGCAAAGGCCGGTGCCCCCACCCAGTCCAGCAGCAACTGCAGGTCGGCTGGGTCCAGCCGGCACTCGGCCAGCACAGTACGCTCCTGGGCTGCTGTCACCAGGCGACCGCCAACCGCCAGCACCGAGAGGGCCAGGCCAGGCGCCGTGCAACGTCGGAGCAGCGCACCCAGCGCATCCCGCAGCGGGCGAGCGAGAGGGACGCAGCGCACGGCGCCCAGCAGCAGGGCACCCGGGTCCCGCTCCACACTGTCCAGAAGCCGGTCTAGAGTGCGCTCCGAGCCGGCCAGCAGGCGGCGGAGGTCGTAGTTCTGCTTGCGCGCGAAGATGCGGGCCACGCTGGCACGTGTCAGGGTGCTCACGATCTGTGCGTGCACGGCCATAAGCTCCCCCCGCAGCTGTGCTGCTGACTGAGGTGTCCTTGACACGGCCACCAGCAGCAGTGGGCCCTGCTGCAGGAACACCAGCTTGTGGTCCTCTGGGGGAGGGAAGGGGCAGGGGGTAGAGATGCGTCAGTGGTGACAAGACGGGCTCAGGTGGGGCTCTTCCACCCTTCCCCGGAAGGCATACACTCCTGGTCCAAGCCCACACGGTCACTCTAGGGACACAGCACTAAGGTAAGGACAAACTGGGGGAGTTTGGACATTTGCAGAAACATGATGGGATCGTCAGGGAATCAGGCACACAGCATGGAGTGAGGAAGATGCGGCAAGGACTAACAAAGCTAGAAAGGCACCAACTCAGCCAAACAGCCCCCAAACTCACCGTCTTAGGCAAGAAGGAAATATCCAGCCAGTTACTTAGATCCCAGTGAGTTAATCACTCAGAACCCAGCAGGGCCAACAGACAGACAGACCCCTGGACAGACAGACGCCTGGCCAGCCTCCACACACACTGACTTACTCCTAACTAGCTGGATAGTTCCCCAGGCAGCCAGCCAGACAGACCTACTGCCGGACAGACAGCCATAGTCCCAGTCACTGTCACCTGTTCTGCCTCCTGCCCCTTTGCTCACCAGCATAGATGGCGCGAATGGCATCTCCTGCACTCTGCACAAAGGACACGAGAGCTGTCATCACACCCATGGTAGTTGACAATGCCTCCACGCTACCATACCGTGAGTAGATGGGCTTGCCAGCCTCACTCAGCACAAACACGTGCTTCCGCTTGCTGCGCCAGTCCTCGTCACTGGGGTCCCCGCCCTGGCCCCCTGAGCCACTCTCAGGGCCGCCCACGGGACTGTTCTCAGAGGCTGCCGGACCCCAGAGCCCATAGGTGCATGATGGAGCCTCGGACTGGAGCAGCAGGCCAGGTGGCTGGTCCTTGGTCTCGGATCCTGGAAGGGAGCCCCTGGTGAGTCATCTGCCTGTGGACTCCCATTAACCCCATGTGCCCACAGACCAACCAAATCCCTACCAGCCCTGCAATGACCCCCTGCTGCTGACACAGACCTCCAGGTGTCTCCTCTGCCCCTCAATGACATCCACTAACACTTAGGTTTCAACGATCCCCCTAAAACTCCAATAATCCCATCTCACTGTCATTACTGAACCCTTTACATCCCTACAGACTAATTATTCCCCTTTCAATAACTGCCATTCCCAAGTCTTCAAAGCACTCCACTGCCTCTGAATGATTATCAATATCTTCATTTTCAATGATTCCCCCATTAATCTCGGACCCCTCATTTATTTTCCTGGTATCTACTCACCCCTCAATAGCTACCATTATATCTATTAACATCTACGTCTTTGAATGTGCCCCTCACCACCCTAACCCCTTATTTATTCTCACTGATGTCCACTGATCCTAGTGACCCCATTGACTCTCCCAGTCTTGGTGATGACCACTAATCCAAATTCTGACATGATTATCCACTAACATCCGGATCTTTAGGACTCCCCTCACCCCCTATTCATTCCCACTGCTGTTCACTAACATTCCAATGACGCCACATTAACGTCACTAATACCTGGGTCTTCAATGACCTTCAATGACTGCCCCAACCCACAATTTAATCTACTCCATGTCCACTGCATTCCCAAGAATGACCACCATTAACCTCCACTAACATCCAAGACTTCCAGTGACCTCCACTGACTCCCCTGACTTTTATTCTCATTGATATGATTCCCCTTTATTCTCACTGATATCCACTCCCCTCCCTACAATAACCACCATAACATCCACTAACACACAGGACTTTAATGACCTCTGTTGCCCTTCACCATGACCATCATTAACATTTACCAATGAAATCCACAATTTCATTGCCCTCTACTGACTACCCTCCCACTTATTTTAGTTGATGTCCACTGATCCCCAGTGACAACCAGTGTTATCCACTGGCAAACTATGTATCAATACTTTCCTAATAAAATCCCAATGACCTCATATTCCCTCATTTTCTCATTGACAGTCCCCAAGTACCTACTCCCAATACTTGCCAACAAGTTCTCAAAGACGCCCCCCCCCCAATTACTGATTTTCAGTGATGTGTACTGATCCTTCCCAATGACCCCATTAACATCCACTAATTCCAAAGTGGTCAATGAGCACTCATTCCACAATGACTTCCACTGATCCTCCACTCTATACCTTTACACATACACCAGAGTCTTCAAAGATCTTCCTACTGGTCCTCTGACTCTCCAGATAATTTCATTGATGTCCACTGTCTCCCCATCAATGATCATCATTAACGTCCACTAAGATCTGGTTCCTTAAAGACTCCCTCCAACAACTACCATCAACTCCTCAATGATGTAAATATTCTGAGCGCCCACTGGCCCCCACTGATCCCCTTTCCCACCTCAATGATTTAAAGACCCCAAAGGGGTAAAAGGGGGACTGACTTCTAAATAGTCTCCCTTTGACCGTATTAACATTTTTTTGGTCATTCACTGACCTTAACATCCTCAATCCCTAGTGCCCCTCTCTAACCCCAACGGATCCCTTTCTGACTCTTCCATTACCTAAATTCATATCAACTCCCCAGTGAACATCCATTGACACCCACTGATTTCTTTTTCACTCCTCAATGATTTAAACTACAACGTGAGTACACAATGCCTTCCCACTGACCCAAGCTATGGTTTAAACTACCTCCCCGAGTCCCAAAAGGCTCCCCTCTGGTCCCCCATGGACCTCCCCCAACAATAACACCCCCTAGGGATTCCTTCCAAGACCCCAGTGAAGGGAATGCATACCTGTTTTCTCCACGCTCGCATCTTCAGTACCGGGTAGGTCCCTGCAAATCCCTCCACCGTCTCTAGCCTCCTCACTGGGGAACCGCATCTCCTCCAAGTCCTCCGCGTCCCCGGGGGCTGGGGCAGCAGTGCCTCCTCCGGCCTCCATCTGCACATCCCTGTGGGGGAGGGGAATGGAGAGTGACCCGCAGCAAAAGAAACTTCTTAAAGGCTGTTACTGAACCTGGCCCCCTTGTACACACTCCTGGGGCTCGTTTCCCCTCGCGTTTCAACAGGATGAGACATTCAAAAACACGGCCACATACTTGCAACCTCCAACACTTTCCGAAAAGGGAGGCTCTACCGAGCCTCTGGAAATAAAGATATATAAACACCTGTTTTAACTCCGTATCTCAATTGGCCAGGTACCATTACTTCCCGCAGCCGCGGAAGCATAACACTTCCGGATGTGGCCGCTCTCTTGCCACACTTCCGGGTGCGACGCGGCTCTGAAGACACTTCCGGTTGCGGACCTTTATTCGCTCGCTGGGCGCCGGACCCCTCTCTCCCGCCGCCCACTTGTGTTCCCTCACCGTAGAGAAGGCGCGCGCCACTCCCGGATGTACGTCGGATCTGGCCCGGAACCCAGAGCCCCTTCTGCCCTCGTTCCCACCGCACCCGCACCGGCGGCTAACAGGGGCGAGTCTGGGCCACTTCTCGTACCCAAGGTTGCCGGCGTGAGGGCGGCGCGGCTCACGTTCAGCCAATCCGGAGTACGGAGGGCGGCACTGCCTCCTTTATGGCCCAATCAAGCGAAGCCGGTCCCCTCCGACCGTTCCGCCCGCATTCCGTCGGCTTCGTATCTCCACCAATACTGTGCGTCGGATTGCTATTGCACCCGCCTATCCCTTGACTGATATCTCTCTGGACCCAATCGAAGATTCGAGCCTATTCCTCTCTTCACTGGAGGAGGTTCGCAGCCTAGGTCATGATAGATGCCCGTTCCTGGTCTATAGACGTGCTCGCCAGAACTGAGGCAACTTCACCCTCCTTCATCCACCAGGAAAGGCAGGGGCGTGAGGATGGAGTGGAGTCTGACAGAGAGAAAATGATTGACGGACAGTCGCCGCTTCCAATCGGAGTGCTGAGCGCAGGCTGGCCAGCCTATGGGACTCAGCTTCTAAGGCGAGAGGCGGGCCTCCCAGATGTAGGAAGTATTCGTGGGTGTCTGGGTATTCAGGCAGGCGAAGGGCTTAGCGGCCTCTGGAAAAAGGCAAGCGCGAGCCGTGGACATGCTCATGGCGCAGAGGGGTGAGTTTGCAAAGGCAATGTGTAGGTTGACCAGGGCCTGCCCAGACCGGCAAAAGGCCGAGCTGACCTCACTTCCGAAGATAGGGCTCTGTGGGCGGAGCCATGCAGATTAGGAGCACAGGCCTAACTGGGGTGCTTGTGGGCGAGGCTTTGGGAGCCTTCTGAGACCTCGTTGGTTGAGGAAAATGCCCCTTCGTCCTCTGAGCGCCACCACTGGCTGGACGAGGGTAGGGCAAGATGCCCGCCGCTGGGATCCGTCCACTGGAGGGTGTCTAAGCTAGCTTAGAGGAGTGCGCGGTCCGGATGATCCGATCTTCTTTTCCTGGGCTGCATCAGGCAGTCCTAGCCGACAAATTTACTGTGAGGGTGAGCGCAGATGTGGACGGGCCTGCTCTGGATTCTCCTTCTTTGCTCTGAATGTCTCTCCCCGCGACTCCTTGTCTCTGAGCCTCTTTCTCTCTGTGTGTCTGGATGTCTCTTTGCGTCTGCATCTCTGACTCTCTTCCG